CCATACCACTAAAACCAGTCTCAATATATATGTCAAATGGTGACATATGATAAAAGTTTGAACTATGCATGCCATGATGACCCTTTATAATTCACCAGTAGATATGTGGAAAACAACAGTTCCAAAAGATGTGTACATATAAGGAAAATCAATGACCCACTGGGGCCGTGCCAATTGTGACCACATAGTTTTTATTTAATCAAACTTGGTAGGCACTCACTAGAAGATGTTACATGCTAAATATATAAGCTCTAGCTCTTTTGATTTTTTAAAAAAGTTTTTTTTTTAAGTTTTTACTATATACATAAAAGAAAATCATATAACCCCTTGGGTTAGGCCAAATAACAAACTTGGTAGACACTAATTAGAAGATGTTTCACAATTAATAATATGTAAGCTCTAGCTCTTGTGTTTTTTTTTAAAGAACATTTTTTTTAATTTTTACTATACATGATTTTTTTTGTACACATATAGAGAAGATCAATGCCCCTTGGGATGGGGGCCAATTTCAAACCCAGGGCTTTTATTCGAACAAACATGGTAGTGAGTCAATAAAAATGTTTCATGCTAAATATCTATATCAAATATTTGCAATTCAGAAATAATTAGAGTTTGTAAAAAATGCCATCTCATTAAATTTCTGCAAGGTCAAACATATAATTTTCTTTTGTCATGTGCCACAATTACAGGGAACATTCAAGTAATATGCATTCTTTTATCCAACCAACATCATGTATTTTCTTTTAGATTCCTTCAATTTTCCGGAATGTTTATACCACTCACAAACTTTTATTTGATTAACAAGATACTTGAGTCAGGCTTTTCTTTGTATATTATATGTTTCTCTCAAAAGAAGACTATCTGAACCCTGGACTAATGCCATTTTCCCGACACTTTAACGACAATGTTTTTGAATAAACGATAAGTGATAATTATGTATCAGCATTAATAAATGCATATTTTTGTCTATATTCTCACCAAATTATATTATAAAGAAAGAATGTTTTCATCCAGAAGAATTGCAGGGACTATTGAAAAGTAAGTTAACATACCTGTTTTGGCTCAGTTGGGTCTTCTGAGTCTCTCTTACGCTTGTAATCTGAAATGGAAATACAAATACATTTATAATTCATTGTATATCACAATTAATATGTATTCATAAAGTCATGCATTATGTCTTCTATAGAAATCCTCATGAATGAAAATTCTCCCTTAAATTAATAAATCAGTAGGTATATTAAAGTTAAATTTCTAGAATAGAAACTTACGGTAATAAATCTCTTTATAAAAATGTATCATCCTAAAAACCAAGTTTTGATGAATCCATGTATAGTCACAGAGTAATAAGCAATGAATGATTTATACCCATACAATTGATGCATTTTAAAATTGATATGATGCTAAATGATTAAAATGTTACCCTGTAGAAGATCCAACTTTTTCTGTAGCTTATTTCTTTCTTCTTGCAATGACGTAATCATTTTCTGTTGCTAAACATGTTTTAATGACTGACTTGTATAGCAAAGCTTATTAAAGGGGCGTCACTGAGATTTTGTTGAAATGACAGGACATATTTATTCCTGAATTGTAACTTTTGATGTAGGTCTTGTATGCTAAATATTACATTATTGACATTCACTGACACTCCAATTTTCTAGAATAGTACAAACCAACCTAAAAATGAAAATTCTTTTTACTAAAATTGGGTAAGAAATCTCACAAAACATTTTTAATTCAATTCCGGATATAAATATTTTTTTTATCTTTTACATAATTTTTGTTTTAAGTTTTCCAGTTGAAGGGAACAAGGGGTCTCATAACTCTGGATTTTAGATAGGGTGTAGTTATTAATCTTTATGATCCATTTTGACCACAACTACATCTCGGATTTTAAATCATGAGACTAAAAAAAATTGAAATGCAGACAGTGAATAAATGTATCATTCCTTTTGTTTACATGAAAAATGAAGTGGCAAAATTTGTCAAGCCACATGCATCCTAAGTTAAATCACTCTTATTCAATGAGAAACCAATTTATTCTGCAGTAATATTCTAGGCATTTTGATTGATATAACACAGTTGAACAAATGTAAACACCTGTGCATTAAGTTTGTGTGTTGCATACATTGCTATAATACATTATTGAAGTACATTTTCTCAGGTCTTCCTCTCTGCTATTGCAACTAGTGAAGAGAACTCTTAATACTGAATTGTTTTAATCTTTGAAATGTAGTTATTAACCTTACTAAACAAGGATTTACATGAAAAAAATGTTAAATTGGTAACTACAAGTAGTAAGTGTTAAACTAATCAGTTAAAAAACTTGTAGTGAAAACTAATTGACTCAATCTTAACTAGAGTACTGAATTATGTATATCTGGGTAACCTTAGAGTATGCATCTGAGACATGACACCATCAATTACTGTTATTAATCAATAAAGGATAGCAAAACTATGGTCAAAAGCATAAAAAACTAGCATTTGAATCTTATAAATAGATTAAGTGGGGCACTAAATTTAAGAGAAAAATATGCAAAAGATAATAAAGAAATATACTTAGAAATTAATTGAAAATCATACTTCTGTGCTATTCGTAACCCACTTTTTGGTCACTTTTTATGACTGGAAGGATTGTTTGGAAAAATGTGGTAAGCCCACAGAGGCAGTAGTATTTATATAATTATAATAGTATTTATCCACAAAAAGATGTGTGTTCTTATACCTGAGTCTACGGCAGGGTTAATTTTGAAGTATGATTAATATAATTTGTGTAGAAATCTACAAATCATCAAATAGATGCTATATGCCAAATATCTAAACTCTTTGTAGGTTTATATAAGCCTTAAAAGTGTTTTTTTAATCATATGACTCTGAGGCAGGACAATTTTGACCCTAAGGGGAAAGATTAATATCAATTTTGCATACATTCACAAGGTAACACTACATGCTAAATAGCTTAGCTCTTTGTATTGTAGTTTTACAAAATAAGACTGACATGTGTTTTCTCATCCGAGACTACATAAGTTTTGTACAGGCCAACAAGCCAATGCTACAAATTTTAACTTCAGCAGTGTAATTTCACCAAAATAATACTTAAATGTGTTTTCCGTGAATACAAAATGACAAAGTGTGACCTAGCTTGACTCGAGAAATATCAAACCTATGGTCTGCACATCATCTCATTAAGGTAAAAAATTATGCAAAGTAGTTTAAATTTTATATCCACCAGTTCAAAGATACAGACCAGAAACAAAAACTGCTAACAGATGGAGGACCACCAAGCGCAAAAACATATTTTCAGGAATATAAAAGTGGGCATAATTTTGTAAATAATCCATGCAAAGTTACATCCCCTTGCCTGGAAGTGATGATCAGTAACAATATACCCAAAGTTTCAAACCAATATGAGGACATTTTTAAACACTTATCTTTAAATTAGTTCATAACATATGTAATGTACTAAAATGCAATAGTAAGACATAAGATGCTAAAGAAACATAAAGTTGGTCAATAATAAGCCATGATTACAAACATTAATTTAAGTTAATCTTTTAAGCCATATCAGTGCTACTACACTCTACCTTCAATTCTTCTGTTTCAATATTTTCTTTTTCATCACAGGCACTATCCCCATCTGAGCACTCTGTCATCACTGCACTTTGTGTGGTAGATTCCTTTCTTGATCTAACAAATCCTTGCTCAATAAAATCTGCCCTGAAATAAAACATAATCGTCTATTATATTAGTAATTAGTAAGGTAACTACTAGAGAACACAAATACCACTGAAAATTCAATTTGGTTCTGAAGTGTCTAGTATTTTGTTTCAGAACATCTATGTAACGTTTAATCTTGAGAGAAGCTTAATTCACCCTGACTGATGTATATCTCATATAAAAGCTCAATACAAGTCTAGTTACAAAAGGTCAGTTACAATGAAATCATACTCAATTATTAGTAGTACCCGAATAACGTAGGAATTGAGCAGGAGAGAAAATTCAAAACATACAACATAGTTACGGTGTTGCATAGTAATCTTCAATGAAATATTTTCAGTAGTTGTAACAAGAAGTATCTTAAACAAGAGGGCCATGATGGCCCTAGATCGCTCACCTGACTTATCAAACTCATCCAAACAATTACCTAGACAAGCATTCTGACCAAGTCTCATGACAGGTGAGTCAAAAATGTGACCACTACAGTGTTAACAAGGATTATCCATATTTGAGCAGTGCGACCTAGTTTTTACCCAGGTGACACATATTCAAATTTGACCTAGAAATCATCAAAACAAACTTTCAGACCAATTTCCAGGATACTTGGATCAAAACAGTAGCAACTAGAGTGTTAACAAGATTGTTCTATTTTTAGCTCCGGTGACCTAGTTTCACATGTGATTTCGAACTCATCCAAGCAATTACCTAGACAAGCATCCTGACCAAGTTTGATCATAATTGAGTCGAAAATGTGACCACTAGAATGTTAACAAGGTTTTTCCATATTTGGGCGATGTGACCTAGTTTTTCATCCGAGATGACCCATGTTCGAACTCATCCGAGCTATCAAATAGATAAGCATCCTGACCAAGTTTGATGATGATTGAGGCAAAAATGCGACCGCTACAGTGTTAACAACTAAATGTGAACGGACGACGGACGGACGACGGACAATCATCCATCCTAAAAGCTCACCCTGAGCATGCTGAGGTGAGCTAAAAAGATAATCGGATGGGGTAAAACTGCTTTTACTTGCATGGTGTCTTTCGATATGCACATGATTTTCCAGGATCATGGACGTTATAAGTCGTTTCATCATTGCAGAATGTCATTTATAACTCAGTAAATTCTTATATTGAATAAGATATTCACTGGATAATTAATGAAAATTATTAAAGCAGTGTAAAATATTTATTAGGAGAAAGTTCACAGAGAAGGTGTGTTTCCGATACTCATTTAGATTATATCATAATTTGGATGTGCATTTCAGAAAGATTATTCAGATTATTATACTAGAATAATATGATATAATATACTAGCATATTATTTTAGAATGGAATAATTAAATTCCCGGATTTCAGTTTGTAATTTACAAATGACCAATGAAAATTTTTCTTATATTCAGTTCTACCAATTGTAAATTTTACAGGAAGTCAAACCGATCTCAGATGTCAAAAAATGTTTATGAAACTTTGAACCAACCTTAGTCCTAAGCAATGAATGCAAAATTCCTTGCCCAATAAATAAACAGTTGATTCTTAAGATCATTAGATTGATCTGACATCACTTTTTATATTCAAGGGCCATGTCTCTGTCAAAAAAGTATTTTGACCTAAACACTTGTTAAATATGCAGAAGTAAATAGGTTAAGAATCAATTTTGTATCATTTCATGTCATAAGTAATTTTAACGGATCCCCTTTTGAATGAAAATCAACAACATTTATGCACACTGGTTTAATAGATTGGTGTAGCATGTAAAACTGCATTCAGGAATTTTTGAAGTTCAAAAATGGCCATAAATCATATATCTGCAAGAATTGTGTAAGATAGTTTTTTTTCTGCATGGGTTAAAGCCACATTAACACACTATTGGTCACTATGTTTCAATTGAATGCATTCAGAAGTTTAAACTTGCAAACATAAATCATGAATTGTTCTATGTTTACAAAAAGGTCATAACTAAGTCATAATTAAAGCCAAGAGTTCTGACCCTTGGACATTGACCATCAATTATGACCTGAAAGACATGTTTTTTAGTCCTACAAGAAGTTACAAAGCTTAAACATCAGGCAAAACATCATCACTCTGCAAGGATAGTCTCACCTTGATAAATAAGTCAAGTTAAATACTGACATAACTTTCCAATCCATTATAATATTTATATATATATATGTATAATTTAAGTGAAGTTATTAATGCGTATTATTCAATACAATTAAAACAACATTGCAAAGCCCTACTGCCTTCAATAAACATACACAGTCTTGCCTGAAGTGATATTGCCTTCACCTTAAACACAAAATGTTTTTTTTCCTTTGAAATTCTTCAATGAGTCATGCACATAATAATTGCACAAAATTATTAAAGTAATTAGTCTCTGATCACAATATTATTATCACTTACACTTTTTTCTTAAATGAACTCTGACCATTTACTAGCAGATCATCCAAGCATTCATGATAAGCATCATTGCTATTCATTCTCAGCATTGGCCGAAAGAACTTCTCAGACACTTGTTTCTTTGAGTTTACTTTCAGAACCTTCTCAAAAATTTCCTCTGGAAGCTGTGCCATTTGTAGATGATGAGGCATCCTCTGCTGCAGTTTCCTCTTACACTGAAATTAACCATTTTTTTTCCTTAAAATACTGGGTAATTGACACTTAAAATGTTAACAAGATCTATCCCCAGGCATGATTTTTCTTATTTCCACAGGCAAAATTAAATCAGATGAAGAAAATGACTTAGCAAGGGGTTTTCAAAGAAAATATCTTCTTTTTTTGGTAGAAAGTTAAACTAATATTTCATACATGTCATGGCAACAAGGTCATTTACAATACAAGGTCATACTTAAATTATATGTCCATGTTGTCATATAATTTAGTCTGATAGTGGTTGAGTTTAGTTTAGTTTTCGTGATAGCCCTGTCCAAACGTTGTTGTGCCCAAGGATGAAGACTATGCATCAAAAAATTTTCTTGGAAAATATCAAGCTAACGATACCTGATAACTTGGTGAAAAATCATAATTATGTCATCATGAAAAGTGAATGATCAACAGATATAAACAAATTTTTTTAACATTTATGCATTATTTTTCAAGATTTCCAAATTAAAAGAAACTACTTAAAAAACATTTAATTTTTACGCACTATATCAGAAAAAAATTGCATAACTATAAACCTAAATTATGACAAAATATAAGTACCAGGTAGGTTCAATTTTCTTTTATCTTTTAGTGTATGAAAAACTTTTTATCCCTAAACAATCCGACAAAAGTCTTGCATACCTCTACCCGAAATATGATGCACAGCATGTCCTTCCATGAAGAAATTTTAGTGACATTCATCATTTCAGTTGGCCTGCATTCCCTCATCAGTTTCACTTTGTCCACAAATGACAGGGGCTTCTTCTTCTCTTCTAAGATGACATTGTGTTGCATTCCAATAGCAAGTGCATCTGTTCTTGGAAGTGCCTTGTATAGGTTAACTTTAACTATTGGCGATGTCAGAAGTCCTTTATCAAACAGAGACTGAAGTGCTAGACGGGTATGGTTACCACCTAACACTTCAATCTCTGCAGCCCCCGGCTGAACCAAATTCTCAAGGACAACATTACAACAGGTCATACCAACTAGCAGAATAATCTGTCCAAAATCCTGGTCCTTGAAGGATTCCCCCAGTTGACCAACATGAGTATAGTCGACATCTCTTGTTAACCTGGAAGGTGCAGGTGATATCAGGTTTGAGACGTGAACATCACATGTACCTTAAAATAAAATAAACAAAACATGAAATGTATTTACTTTCTAAACAAGTAAATAAGTGAATTATTTTCTCTAACAGTATAATATAAATCAATTTATTGAAACACCTTATTATTACAAACCTCAGAATATAAGTTAAAACAAGAAACATCGCAATGTGAGGACTTAACCAGGTTTACAATTTTTGCAAGTAACTCCATCATAAAAACAAAACAGAGTTCATTTGGGGCACTCAAAACAGAAAAATACTAAACAACAATTAATATTATAAATGATAAATGTTCATGATCAAATAATACAACTGCCTTAATTTATAATAAAAAGATTTTCCCACTTTTTTATCATTTGAACAGTATATAACAATACATTTCAATGGTAATTAATGAATTTTGTGTGAGTCATGTGGTTATAGACCTTTTTACAATACAATTAATAATGGGATGTTGCATTTTGCACATGCACATTCTGCATATGGGGGAAAACCCAAAAATAATCAAAGCACAGAAGGCGCTGAATTTGTTTGGGTCTCAGAATGTAAGAAAGGTACAGGTTGCGAGTGCCACCAATTTTTCCAGCTTAAACAATTAGAAAAAAATTAGTTGCCTTTACTGGGATTTGAACTCCAGACCTCTCGCTTCCTAAGCGAGCGCGAAAACCCTTCAGCCACGGTGAATTTATATGTGAACGGCCTGAAGAAAACCATATTATTCTAAATCAGGGCGTGTAACGACTTTAACTGTTGTTCAACACATATGTAAATAATCCTGGAGCTTACTATAAGCATGTATATTTATAAGGAACCAAAGGGCTGCAAGTTCTGTGGTATTTTCTGATCTTTGCAATCTAAATCGTACTGTATATCTGTATGTATTTTCCTGTGTAAGTTTATTTTGATGGATTATAATTCATTTTGCCAGGCACCAGAGTTTGATACATACGGAATTCTGCATAACTAGAGTTGCATCAAAATATCATTTATGTTCATTTTTTACGACAGCTACACTTTATCCTTGCATATCATGGCTACTTCCTTAACAAAGACACTTAAAAAAGAATTTAAAAAAAATGTTTCCTCGACTGGGATTTGAACTCGAGACCTCTCACTCACGAAGCGAGCGCGTTACCCCTGCACCACGGAGAAGGTTTACAAACAATGTCTGAATAACATCAGGTCATTCTTAATTTAGAACTACCATTGCATTTCGGGTTTGTAATCCTTATTAATTTCGAGGTATTTTGTTCAGGATAAACCTGTTGTTTAGAATTGATGTGAATAATTCAGCGAAAATCTTCTCGCCCAAACAGTCCGACATGTAGAATCTATATATTCCACTACTCGGTTTGTGTAGTATTCGGTAATCGACATCGCTAAAAATAGTATTTTCATTGATAAAATCATATTCATCCGCGTAATTTGTGATTGTGCATTTATTGACAATTCTATAAGCCAACACTATTTTTAAACTTTGAATGCGTTGTAATTTGTTGGATACTTGTAACAAAATAAAAATATTTCTTTCTTTTAAATCGCTAGTTTTAAGCTGTTTTGAGAACTACTTGTTGTTAGGTTTGTCGTAAACTTCTGTGTCAGAGATTGAATGTCCGCTTTGTATTTACTTATTTTCGATCAGAAAATACAATAAAACAATATTAGAAATATTCGACCATTCGGGAATTATTTTGCTTGAAAATTAATGTGCCTGTCTTTGACCATCTTTACGCAGTGATCTCCCCTGAATTTTTCGGCGTTAGTGTACATATAAAGGGAAGTAACCGCTTCAAAAAAGTGGACTACTTTCGGCATTTGCAATTAACAGCATTATACTCTGAAATTTCGCTACCATTATTTGTTTGGTCTGACGACCCAAACAAATAAAAACTACAATTTATCATATGGAAAGGCTTTAAATAATTGAGGTTTCACACAGACATCCAATCAAGCACTATTTAAATACGTTATTCTATTTTTTAAGCACATTTGTTGCACATATATCGACACAATATTCAACCTAAGAAGGATAGTTAATTCACCATTTTTTCTTGAATTATACACATTTTCTGGCCAAATTTTAAGGTTTTATAGAAGAACAACGAAGGGTGCATCAAATACAATTTAGTTCAAAACAACTGCAATTTGATCAATTACTGCTACCTTGAGCAAACATTTTATTGATTTTGATACTTAATTGGATCATTTTTATTTATTTTGTTAACTGTTGATTTTTATCAACTCTATGTCATTTAATCATTTTCAAGCAAAATTTCATCAAATTTAAGCACTTTTTAAGCACTTTTCAAGACAATAATCAAATTCAAGGACTTTAAAGCACTTTTTACATTTTAAAGTATTTTTAAGAAAGGGACTCAAAATTAAGCACTTTTTAAGACTGTAAGAACCCTGTTTATAGAAGTAATTTCAAGTTATTCCACCCAGAAAACAGTAATTTTGGGATGACATAAAACAGTAAGTACTTTTAAACTGACTTTTACAACAGAGATAGGAAAATATGCCGGACTTAAATAATTCAATTATCGAAGAGTGCATACAAAATAACTCTGTTTAAGGTATTATTAGACAACTTTTTGTCAGTAATTATACCCCCACAAACAAATTTAAGGGGGTATATGCATCCGTCCATTGTTCTGTCCACATATTGGTTTCCTAACAATAACTAGAGTTTGGAATGAGGTATTGTAATCAAACTTGATATATAGCAACCTTAACTGAAAACCCCGGTTGGTATTGCAACCTGAGGTCAAGGTCACCGTTACTAAAAATAGAAAAATGGTTTCCAGATAATAACTTGTTTAGGAATGAGATATTGCTATCAAACATGGTGTGTAGCAAGTTTATATGAAGACCCCGGTTGGTATTGCATTTGATTTGAACCCGCTGTGGTCAAGGTCACTGTAATTAAAAATAGAAAAAAAGCCACCGCTCAGGGCGGGGCAATCAGATCAACTTTTTACTTTTTCTAAAAGCAAACAAAAAATAAACGGGTTGTACAAATCTTAATGTTTCCTTTTAATAATTTAAATAGGCCTGTCTTGTCACACTAGTTGTGTCGAAGTATGAATCCTCTCCATAGACTGATAAATGACATGTTAAGAAAATATATATTATATATCATAATCTGTAACATGTGTATTAATATATATATATATATATTGGTATATATATATTCACACATACCATCACCTACGGGGCCCATATATAAGACCGACTTGAGTGGCATTATTTCATGCAGTCCGTTTTTATATAAATTAAAATTATATATTTATATAAAGTAATTGAACCATGACCAAATTTAAACTTGACCTGCGCATTCCTTTGACATATCCATATGTCAAGTTTGAGTTGAATGTGTTGTACCATTGGGGAGATAATGAATGGAAACTGAAAATTTCATATTATTTTCAAAGTAAAAGGGCCATAACTCTGCCAAAAATCATCGAACCATGACCAAATTCGAACTTGAACTGTATTTACTCATGACATATCCATATGTCAAGTTTAAGTTGAATGTGTTGTACCGTTGGGGAGATAATGAACGGAAACTGAAAATTTCATATTATTTTAAAGTAAAAGGGACATAACTCTGTCAAAAATCATTGAACCATGACTAAATTCGAACTTAACCTGTATTTTTTCATGACATATCCATATGTCAAATTTGAGTTGAATGTGTGCAACCGTTACTAAGATAATGAACGGAAACTGATGATGACGGAATGACAGAATGACGGAACAGGGTAACACTATAATTGCCCCCGGCCATTACATGGCCATGCCATAAAAATATATACATTTGTGGTGCATATAGCATTAACTATTAAAACCGGCTTACCGGCACTATTTTAGAAGGGTAGCCTACACCTCCATACGTCATTTTAAACATGCTAGAGTTGCGAGGCCTTATGTATGCCCCACATTAAATATAAACCCTACACGTATGGTCTTAAATAGACCAATGCCCCGTAAATGGAGGAATGTAACTGTATATTATGATCGGCAATTATTTTAGCAAATATCTAAATATCAAAGAAAAGCGTATGTGTATTTTGGTTTGTTGTCCTGGCATTTAGGCACAATATGATGAATATCTTAAATTCTTAATACTCTTATAGAACGTTTTTGCAGCAAAATTTTGCCTAGAAAATGCCAAAAATACGTATTTGACAATAATTCAAAATTACACTCATTTGTAATTTGAAAAAACAGTCTTAAACTTGCGGCGTAAATAGGCAATTGTTAATCCTTTTTATTGGAAAATTTGCTATTTTCCAATCATCTGTTGATCAAAGATAAGAATTATCACCTCGTGTTATATCTATTAGCCTAATAGATAAATTTCTATATTTTCTCAATTCATATTATCTCAATTTAAGGTCTATGTGATAATTGTAAAGGGGAATTATTAAACAGTCATACATTTTTATGGCAATCTTGCCTACAAAACTATAAAGGCATCTTTTGAGTTTTTGTTTAAAGTTATTTCATATTATTCTCTACTTTTTACCTTAAACTTACTCAAATTGTCAATAAACTTCTACTATATAATGCAGGGCGATGATCTTAACAGCCCTATGCAGATTGCACATGCACAAGAAATACTACTTTTCATCAATTAACATAGCAATGGACCACTTTTGATTAAAAAAATTAACTAGACTATAAAGTTGAATTCAATGATGGCAAAAACTAAATAATTATGACTATGACTTGTACATACACCATTTACAACTGGATGAACATAAATTTATGTTACTTTAAGTAAATCATTAATTTGCCTTACCTAAGTGGTTTCAAATAATTATATTTACCTATCAACTTGTCCTTCAACACTGTTCAAATAATTCCTGCAATATCAAAACAAATCTTTTCAGATACTAGATACAACACAAATACTTTTTTTCTTCTTTCCATAGGCCAACACTCAGTGGAAGATCATTTTAGTGAAGGATTTTCATAGAAAACAAGTTCACTTCCTGGAACTAACCAGTACTTGTGTTATATGAGAAAGCATGGCTGTGCCCCATGTAGGGATCAAACACATGATCCCTGGGTTGATAGGCAGACACCGTAGCAACTAAACCAACACTCGACCTTAATTAAATTTTATTTTTAAACTTTACCGTCAAGGTCATTTACAGTTCAAACTTAAGATGAGGTTAAACTTCAAATATTTTGTTTAGCTTATTTGTATTAAAATGTATCAAACATATCAATTAACAAAGTTACAAAAATTTACCGTCAAACGCAAATTTCAGCAAAAAAGTGTTACTAAATATTTTAAAGAGCAAAGATAATCCCGCTTTGGTCTTTAAAATACCAAAAATCAAGGACCATAACCATTATTAAGTCAATATGAACAGAATAGGTAAACAGAAAAAGTTCTGCTCACAGCCTTTAGATCTAGTCAAACAAGAGCTGTCACAGGAAACAGCGAAGCTCGACTAATAAAATACTGGACGCAGTCAGGAAGACAAAGCTATGAAAGACAAATCAATTATGTATAATTATGTATTAAGTTATGGTAAAAAATTAACATTGTTAACATAAATTCCAAGATCAAAGGGGGTAATTCTGGATATAGTCACGCTACAGTTATGAACCTTGTCACACAACATGTGTGTAATGATAAGAAATATATATTTGAAGTTTGAAGTAGATACCTTAAAAAGTGAAGAAGTTATAATATTTCTTAAAGATAATCCTAAGTTAAAAGAGAGATAAATCTGTAAATATTGCTTCAAGAGTTATAAACCTTGTCACATAAAATGTAATTGATGGTAAGGAATAAGTATTTGAAGTTTGAGGTAGATACCTTTAAAACTAAAAAAGTTATAGTAAAAAGTAACATTTTTCAAGTAAAAAAATCTAAGTTTATAGGGAGATAATTCTTGCAATATTGGTGTAAGAGTTATGAATCTTGTCACTGAACATGTGGTTATTAATAAGGTACATATATTTGAAGTATGAAGTTAATCCCTTAACAAATAAATATGAAACTGTAAAAAATAGTATTTTTTAAGGAAAATTCTAAGTTCTAGGAGAGATAAATCTTAAAATATCGGTGCTAGAGTTTTGAACCTTGTCACATAAGATGTGGATGATGAAAAGGTACATATATTTGAAGTATGAAATTGATACCTTAAGAAATAAAGAAGAAACAGTAAAAAATAGTATTTTTTAAGGAAAATTCTAAGTTCAAGGGGAGATAAATCTGAAGATATTTGTGCTTGAGTTATGAACCTTGTCACATAAGATGTGGTAGATGATAAGGAACATATATTTGAAGTTTCAAGTTGATACCTTGAAAAGTGACAAAGTTATAGTGAAAAATATTTTACTGCACCAAAACTTTAATCTGTAATCTGGACGCGGACGCCGGGGGAGTTGGACAGCTCTCCATAGACTTTGTATAGTCGAGCTAAAAATGGTAACCTCTGGCTCTGTGTAAAGGGACAGCCATTATTGTGTACCCACAAAAACGCAGTAAATTACAAATGGTATGCTCATAATTAATATAAACTGAGACACATAAATATATTATAACAACCATATGGTTAAGATTTTTGAAGGCAGTGGATTATGACTATTGCACAACAATAAAAGAGTAAAACTCTTAGCATTATGTATCTTCAACAATATTTTTCCTCTGTCTGTTCACTATCACTGTGTGATGTGTTTAAAAAGTTCTTTCAATATTTCTCAAGTAATTTCTCAAACAAACATTATCACCACAAAGGGAGATAAATAAAAATATATTAATTTAATATGTTGAGTTAATTGGTTCTTAAAGATTATTCCCTGCGAGCTCACAGGGTATTGGTATGTGATTATTTTTTTAGGCATGGATGAGCACATGATCTTTAAACCCTAAATGATTGGTTAAATGAAAACCCTGCTTAAAAATACCTTTTTCCGGTACATAACGGATTAAATAGCACCTAATTAAGTACACAACATATTACGCGATACTACTATTTTCTATCATTATTTTGACGTTTAAGGTGGAAACACTTTTGTTTGAGAGTTATCAATGTTCCTATAATACAAAATCAATCTTAAAATTTACACACAAAAAATGTTTATAATGAAAATCTATAAAATAGATAGGGATATTTTCTGCAATATCTTCTGTGTGTACTTTTTATTTTGCATGGAATTATTCATACACTGGTATTTAATCATTTTCTTAAAAAGAAATTATTGTTTTATTTCACTTTAATCAAAAATATTATAACCAAAAACATCAAGATCATTAATAATTACATGCCATTTATGAATGATACAGACAGGTGACTTACAAATCGACCTGTTCTTCGACGGTCATTGGTCTCCAAAGACTTTCTTAATTTTTTAAAGTTATATTATGAAATATCTTTAAATTATTAAAAAATTTCCATGCAGGAAATCATGACATTGCTAACTTGTAGTTCCTATTACTAGACTTAATACAGTTAGAGCCAGTAGTCATTGATACTTATAAATAGTTAAAGTGAGGATTTTACACATTGCATACATTTAAAATTGAAATTTGCTTGTTTATTCCTTGAGTATAATTGTGTGTTTCCTTGATAATCAAATGGGGGGGTGGATGTATCAAAGTGAAACAAATGATTCCATTATACCTAAATGACTGAAGGCATGATGTCACACTTGGCATGCCTTTATGCACTAACTACAACTCTGTCATGGTTGCACAGTTATATGTATCATAAAGGGAGATAATTAAAAAAACTATGTAATGTACAGTTATGGTTCATTGAACACTGCATTTCATTTCAGTACTTTTTCAACAACTGTGAAACTTTCAATGATTTATCATTGACAGTTAAGAAGTTATACTCAAATAATCTTTATCAATATACATGAGACTGTTAAAATTTTTGTAGAATTATAAGTCTTGAAGAGTGCACTTCCTAATAATAAAATCTCTTTCACTGTGAAGTTTTAATCAAATGTCTTCAATAGTTTATACTTTAAGTTGGCAATTATATAATCAACATAATGGATGCATAATCAATAAATATCATTAATACAGTGTTATCATTACTATAATATATATGTATGTAAAATGTTTTCATACCATTCGCAGTCTTTTTTTCTGGCTCTGCCTCTTGTACATGGGCTTGTTTAAACCTGAAGAAAAGAAATTATACATGTAATAAAGTTTGAGTTATTTTGCATTGATTCTTGAATTATATTTCATTGTTAGTGTCGTAAATGATGCTGTAGTTTTGTATGCCTGGTATAAATTGGACTTGAAATTGATGAATTCAGAATGAGCCCTTCCCTCCCCTTCCTTTTTCTCGTCAGATCATAATTTTATGCTAAGTTTTAGATTTAATGTAAAGGCATAGTTACATTACTAATATACTGTTAGACTAAATTATGTAATACAGTTAATGCATGAAAATGTAAGGCCAATAAAGTTTAAACAATGCTTTGATGTTTTTAAATATGTATTTTCCTTCTATTGAATAGACCGTACACAAAATACATGGTATACCCTAAAAAGACCATGTAAGGCTTTGACCTCCAATACTTCAATTGAAGTTGAGTGTGACGTTTTGTTTGTTTTGGGTTTTTAGGTCACATCGACACAGTATAGGTCATATCGTGACGTTCCAGCTTTACTGGTGGAGGAAGACCTCAGGTGCCCTTCCGTACCTGAGTAGAACCACCGACGTTCCGTAAACTAGCTGGATAGCTTCCTCACATGAAAGAATCCAAAGTCCCTGTCGGGATTCGAACCCACAGCGGTGAGGGGTAAGTGTTTTGAAGTATGTGCAAGTTCCTTGGGCATATTCAAAAGCAACCGACATTATAAAGCTTTGTCATACAGCACATACTGCTACTAGAAATGGATATTTCCAGAGGGTTATGTATTAGTTATTACAATAAATAAAGTGTAAAATTACTTACTCAGTTTTCTCCACTGTGCTAGAAATTCTGTTCTTGAGTTTGTGACATCACGAAAATGCACACTGAAGGTGATTCTATCTGACTCAAAATCTGACAACGCCTTTACCAATTTTCTACCATTCTTCAAAGTGACCTTAAATAAATTTAAATTACCTTTTTAAGAACTTTTTTTTAATGCACTTAATTAATTAATTTCAGTACTCTATGTATATGTTAGTGTTCATCCGTGCTGTTCTACAGAAATTAGAAATTTCGACGGGAGCGATAGCGACAGGAGAATTTGTTCTAATTTCTGTAGAACAGCACAGATGAATACTTACATATTTAGTGTCAAACTTTATTTGGCCTCATTATCATTCACTTTATTATGTCACTATGCGGTTTTATGAAGTACTATGAAAAATAGAAGTCGACTATGGACATAATTCGATATAGTATCGACTTTTGTACTTCTAGGAAAATTAACGCATATAATTTTTAAGAAATACAGCGTTTTCATTGGATGACAAATAAAGTTGGACACTAAATTATAGATTTAAGGTCAATTAGTATGTTCAGCTTTTTATACAAGGTTTTACAGCTAATTAGTTTTCCCTTTTATAATAACTTTTATATCCATTAGCCTGTTGAGCTGGTGAACCAACTATTAGATACTTGTCATTGATATTCAGCTTTCGACATAATACGAAACACGGATTTTACAGATATATAGTTTTATAGTCCAGCAATTGCATGGCCCTTGCCTAATTAGTATAAATTACTTGACAGGGGACCTGAGGTCACTAAGGTAGAAGTTTTGCATAATTTTGAAGAAATGGGCAAGTTTTTGTCTGTTAATGTGTAAGCATTAGGCAGGTAATTTTTTTTTTAAATCATGTTTTTTGTGTTATTTTTTTCAAAAATACTAGGGAAAAATATTAAATGTGAATAGGAATGGGGCCCTGAAAAGAAAAAAGGGCAATTTTATGTCAGGTTTAAATCATAATCTAACTTTGAAGCATCTAAGACATAGATAATTATGAATTCATGTGTCTGGTATCATTAAATTTGAGAATCAATTTCGGACTATGTCAATTAATGGTGTAACTTATAATATTCAATACTTTTTTTATTTATTTATTAATATAATAAATTGTACTGCAATAGATTAGGAATTTAGGTTTACAACAATAAACACATATCCATATTCAAATTCTTCTAGACAAAAAGTAACATCTTTGCTAAAATCAAAAGGCTGCATGCTCTGTGGTATTTTCTGATCTTTCCTGTATAAGTTTATTTTTATATACTATTATTCATCTTACGCAGCGACTGCGTTTAACAGTTTGTGATTGATACATATCGAATTTTGCATGCTTAGAGTTGCATCAAAAATCATTTTGCATTTTTTATTACAGCCACACTTTATCCTTGCATATCGTGGCAACTTCCTTAAAAAAGACACTTCAAAAAAAAAATGTTGCCTCGACAAGGATTTTAACGTTAGGCCTCTCACACCCTAAACGAGCGCGCTACCTCTGCACCACAGTGAAGTAATACGTATGTAGCGGGAATAAAAACAAATATATTGTAATTCTAAAATTGAGAATTTTCATTTCGTATTTGTAATCCTTATTAATATCGAGGTATTTTGTTCACGATAAACCTGTTGTTAAACACTGATGAAAATAATTTAGCGAAAATCTTCTCGCCAAAACAGTCCGACATGTATATATTCCATTACTCGACAGTCAGATTTATTTGTGTACTACGCTCTGGAGTATTCGGTAATCGACATAGCTAAAAATAGCATTTTCATTGATTAAGCTTTACGGAAATAGTCGAACATTTTTCATTGGGTAAAAAAGATATTCATCCGCGAAATTTGTGGTTGTAACCTCATATTTCTATTGACTAATGTAAACTTTTAATGCACTGTAATTCGTTAAATGCCTACATTAAAAATTATTCTTTCTTTTAAATTGCTGTTTTTTAAGCAGTTTTGAGTGAGAACTACTTTGCGTTGTTAGGTCTGTGAGGAAATTTTGTGTTAGACCGTGGATGTTAGCTATGTATTTACTGATCTTGCGATCAGAAAATACAAAAACTATAACAGGTTTCTGATCAAATTAAGACCAGTCAATTTAACCATGATATCACTTCCTGTCATGCTGTGTTTTCAAATGAAGAGTCTATTAAATTTTCAAAATATTTGACCAACTACTCTACTGGTATCCATAGTTACCAAAGCAAGTAATCATCCCCAGCCTAGTCAGGTTGCTAATCAAGTCCAGTTAGCCATGTCAACACTTTCGAATACACTGTGTATTCTAATTTAGAGTCAAGTAATATTTTACACATTTGGCCATCAACACTGCTTGTATCCATAGTTACAAGAGCAAGTTAGTAGCCAGCCACTCTGTCACAAAGTTTTAATATGAAAGAATTTTTTATTTTGGTCATGAATTACTTAAATTGTTTACATTTATTTCTCCCAACCAAAATTTAGGCATTTTAAAGATTTATATGAATGTTTTTTTTTTTGTTTTTTTTTTTATTCCATAATATTAACTAACAACTCTCTAAATGTAAAGTAACCTTATTGAATTGAACCTGTTGATTTGAATTTAATTTTGATAGTTAGATCTACACTTGCTAATTTTTAATCAAAAAATTTTGGCAGTCTGGTTTTGTTAACCCATCCCCAAATTGGATCTTAGTAAAGTATTTACTGGAATTATCAGGAAAAAATAAAATTACATAGATCTACAAGATGTGCAGTTAAAAAAATATCCTGTACCATGCAGATGATTGTAGTTAATATACTATACAGATATAGTAGATCTATGTAAATAAAAAATATATAACCCATAGAACATTAAAAATTGTTTGTTTCTAGTAGATTCTACCTGTGCTTCAAAAACAATGACTGGAATGTAAGTCAATTTCATTAAAATAGAAATATATAGATCTAGATTCATAAAAAAAACTTCAATCCATACCTCTACTTTTCCATAGCCACCAGCTTGGATGTTGTTGATCTCTTCTACGCTGTCTTCACCGGACTTGATAAAGATGTCCTCATCGACCTTCTCCAAAAACCAGTTCATGGCGAAATATTAAATTAATATTAAATAATAAATAAATTGTCGGAATATGTGTAGCAGTTTGCGCGTGCGTCTCGATTGCTTTCTGTAGTAGTGCTAAAAGATCGCGCGCGATGACGCGTCAATAGAACTAGCCAAATCCATTCAGTTCTGGAAGGGTTGTACTTTTAACTGTTTTGAACTGTAGAAAGATCTCATTTATCATATGTGGAGTCCAAAATTAGAATATTAAGAATAATTATGATTATCTTCTTTTAATACACAATATATTTTTACGAAAGATAGAGACAAAGTTGCAAAGAAAACCTTCGGCATTAGTCCCGATGTACCCGTGTAATATAATGGAACAGTCGATTCTTCCATTTAACCTAATTAAGTCATTACACGGTTTGGTGACGCGCTATACACATGACATAACACAAGATGAAGGTCATCAGCTGTTTATTTGCAGTATTATTGGTAAGGTTTTTATATTCTATCTATTATTGTATAACATTGTAAAATTAAATAAATTGCTTTTAGCCAATTTTATTTAATTAAGTTTAAGATTATATTATTTTGTACTGTACTGCATGTATAGTGTTTAAAAAGTCACGTAAGGTTATAATAAATTCTGTCTTTACTTTACCAAATAAAACATGTAGATCTAAAATGGCAACAGGAATCCTCTATATCTATAAACCTGTGAAACATTTCATATTTTGCAGAGCTTCTTTAACTGTTTAAATATCCAAATAATTAATCATACATGGAGTTATAAAACTGTACTGTATACATAAACATTACTGTAAAGTGTTTTTGTTTTGTTTTTTGAAAACTGTAAAGCAGAATTTATTGATGCATGTGTTAAATGTTTATGTATCTGTTGGGATTCTGATTGACATCTGCATTTATTTGGATTTTAAGGCATTTTGTGTAGAGTGTAGACTATTAAGTATGTGTTTTTAACTGTCATAACATTGAAGTTTAGTTATATTCATTGTATAGTGATACGACTGTTGTGTGGAAATATCATAGCCTGGGGTGTCATCTCGGGTTGTCCCGATTGAGGCACTATGGCCGAGTACATTTTCTGTAGGGAAAACCAGAGATGCCACCCCAGGCTATGATATAATAAAATTCCACATAAC